ACTGTCAGATTGAGTTTTTGTGGGATTTTTCTCTTGTTTGAGTGAGTTTAAAGTCAGAACGGAAGCGTTTCGACGGATCGGCTGTTCAGTCACGTGGCTGAGCTTTTGGTTGGAGAAGTTTATAGCAGAGACGCCTGATCAGTCTGTGAAGCTTTTTGGTGAATTTCATCTTTATTTTGGCTGTTTTTAGACAAACTGTGAAGAGAGACGACGGGCCTTTATTTTGAAATTACATCCGACATGACTGGAAGTAACTTAAACTATTAGACTTTTTTTTTTTTTTACAATGACGTGCTGTATTTTATAACTGTGTGAAATGTTGTTTTTTTAAATCACCAAAATGACACCATGAAGACAGTCAAACACCAGATTTTCAAGTTTCCAAATGTTCCTGAACTACTCATTTTAAAGAGTCGTTCCATCAGAAAACACAACCAAATTAAAACCTAAATTATTTTTTTTCTACATAAATAATTTAAAAATCAACCATTTGTAGGAGCTGGATTCAACAAAAAATAAAAATTCTGAGCTCCACGATGCAGCCGAGACGCCTCGGCCGGTTTGGCTGCCACCAAAAGTCCTGTGACAACGATTGTGGGACGCAGCGTTTAGACAAAGCAGGAACAAAAATGGAAATAAAGGTTAAACATCTACGACATGCAGAGCCACGTTGTCTTTGTGTTCATAACAGCATCGGTGTCGCCTGTAGTTGTAGAAGTTTATGATCAACGGCATGAAATGTGATGAATTGTACGGCTGATGTCGGGTCCGGCGCTCTACTGACCTCGGGCCTGGACCGCCGAGCTGTGTGAGTACCCCAGAGCCACCAGCGCCGTCTCCACCAGCTGCGTGAACAGGACGTCCTTCCGAACCAGCACGAACTCGGCGTGGCGGTCGCTCCGGCCCTCGCAGTCGCCGCTCAGGCCGGCGTCGGCGTGCTCCACCACGCAGTAGACCGGGATCATCAGACCTGGACGGGACGGACAGTCAGAACCTCGAGTAACCGTCAACAACGAAGGGATCAAATAAAAACTGAGCGATGACGATTTAAACATCTGGAAAATCTGAAAGCAGCAACCACCGACCAGGCAGGTTGAAAGTCTCCTTTTAAAATCACCTAAATGAACCCTTTTATCAAACTCCACCTGTCCATGAACTCTGTGAGTCGAGGTTCTGTTGGGTCATTTAACTAAATCTAAAATCAGGATCTTCCATCATAATCACCGTCCTGTTTACATGTTTGGTTTTAACTAAATTCTGCAGAAAGCTAATGAGCGAGACTCTCAGATGAAGTGCAGGTTGTGTCCACGGAGCAGCTCCCAGTTCAAATATCTAAAATTCATACCGTCTCCGTTTATTTCTTTCAAGCATGTTAACAGCTGAGCACAGCAGAACAAGAACATAAGAAACTCAGCTGTCATTGTTGTTTTTTTTGATGATTAACAGCAGAACCGTGCCGTTCCACGTTCACTCGAGGTGTTTCCACTGAGCTGCAGGACTTCAGCAGAAACCACACAGAGAGAGTTAAAGTGCTGTCGAGTAATTCTTCACACAAACCCACCACAGAGGAGCTGTTCAGGCCCGTCTTTTGTTCCAGAGCAGGATCTGGGTGAAAGCTGGGGCTGTCGGCGGCGTCTTCCCGCTCATTTCCGCCCGCTGAGCGCTGCAGCGGTGGAGCTGCCTGGTGGAGCTGCCTGGTGGTCTCATTGTGCGACTCTGGTTAAACTGGGCAGCTGCCAGCGCGCATGTAAGCCAGCGTTAGATTGTACAACTGTATTTGTGTTTGAACCACATATTAAAACCCACAAGGGATCAGACTTGTTTCCAGAACCGCTATTAAAGCGCTGCATGTCGCGCTCAGGAGCGCTGCCACGGCTCCAGCGCCGCGGACTTGTTGTTGGGCGAAGGCTGAGCTGCAGCGTTCACACCCATCCCGTCCACTGCTCGCTCCCACAGGAACTGCTAATTAACAAGCTATCAATCGTCCTCCTGACGGGGCAGCGGCGGATCAGCCGGAGCCAAACCGCGGCAGCATCAGGCACGCTATCGGCCGGCGAGCCGACCGCTCGGCGCGAGGGCGGAGGGATGTGTGCGTCGCCATGTTTGTGTGGTGATGCATGACGATGTCTTCAGCTGCACGAGGGGATGGCTGTGCACGGCTGTGGAGTCGAGAGCGAACCCGACACCTCACTGCTTTAGCATCGAGAGGTGCTGATGCTAACGTCATGGCACGTTGTTACACACCAGAAGACACCGTTACTTCTTCAGTGCCTCCTTGCCTGAGGCGTCCGTCTGCTCAGAACAAACCTGCTCATCCGACATCCGGAGGCAAGAAGTGTTCGTATGTCTGAGAACACCTTTGAATGTTTGCAGACGACGTTCCCACAAAGACGCTCATGTCGTCTGCAAGAACGAATAAACTCACTAACAGAAAAAAAGGCATCTTCAAAAATTACTAATGACAATAAAGTCCAAAGTTGCACCGTTGATCAGACCTGGGAACTGTAGAAAGACTCATCATCAGTCGTAAACGCTGCAGGGTCAGGGTGTGAAGGCCTGACAAACATCATCATTGGATGTCATTATCAATCATTAGCAATAATCTGAAAAAACCCAAAAACAACCAACAACCTGCCGGCAGGTTTGTGAGAGGTTCCATCCTAAGAGATAGAAATAAAGAAATAAAATCGTGATTCGTGTCAGAAATAGAAAGCTTGAAATCAAACTCGTTTTTTTCCCCTGAAAATCATATTTAAAAATCTACTAAAAATGAACCATTTTAACGAATCAGATTCTGTAAAAACTAAAAAATTCTGCGATCTTAAGTGCAACTGTGAAGCCGTTAGTGACGCTGCTGCGACCAACGCTCACATGGCAAAAATTCAGAGCAGAGAGGAGGCAAACATATTTAAAAATGATAAAATACACATAAAAACTCAACAAACATTGATGAGAAAGAACGTTTCTGTCGACCAGCTGATAAACCAGCAAACTGTTNCTCAGCTCCACATTTCAGACTCGCTTCTCCCAGTCGTCGTTGTCTGTTCGTTAGTCGACTCGGCTTCGGCAACAAGAAACGAGATAAAATATTTAAAGTTTTATTTTCCTCCCTGTGGTCCATTGTTCACGGCAACATAAAGTCCTGCAGCTCCGTGGAGCCGTGAAGAAGAACTCAGAGACGCCAGAAATCACACGAAAAGAAAAAACTAAAGTTGAATTTCTTTGATTATTTGTTTTGCAACGATATAAGAAAACACATGAATCATTAGAAAGATGTGCGACGATGCTGAACAACCGGCTCCTCTGGTCACTGGTTCTGGTTCTGTGCTGCATCCATTTATTCATCCAGCAGCTTTTGTGTCTTATTTCCTGTTTCTCTTGTTTTGGGTCTCATTGTTCTAATTGTGTCTAATTGGTGTCATTTCATGTCTTGTTTGTGTCATTTTTGGGCTTTTTTTTTTTGGACACTTTTGTCTCTAATCCTGAAAAAAGCAGCTGTTCATACTACAGATATTTCACTATCTCTACATTTTCAGCCTCTACAAACTTTTTCTCTCAACAAATAATCTCCAGAAAGATGTTCCATCGTGCTGGATGTACCTCCAACGACCTTCTCCTCTGTTCACTGTTTCTGAGTCGTGCTGCGTTTATTATTGATCCGGTTGGCTGGACTTCTATGTCACGGTCAGTTTTTGTGATCCTCTACAGGTTTTGAGTCATTCTACACGGTTTTAACATGATTTGTGCCAAATTTTGACTCATTTTATAAAAAAGTTTCAGTCATTTTGAAAAAAAAAGTCAATCGTTTGGACAAGTTTGTGTTATTTTGGATAAATTAAGTCATTTTGGACGTTTTTAACTGTCTTAGACATGTTTATTCCATTTTGGAGAACATTTGAGTCACTTTAAATATAGATATTTAATTTTTTTTTCATCAGTTGTAGCTATTCCAGGAGGTTTAATGTCTTATTTTGTGGCTTTTTCTTTTTTTTTTTAAAGTTTTGTCTCTAAAACTGGAAAAACAAGCGGCTGCACAGACTACAGATATTTTACTATTTACGTTTCTACAGTCTTTGTCTCGACCTAAAAACTCTTTACACGCTTTAGTCAGTCATCACTTCTGCTTTTTATTTTTCTTAACAGGATTCGGCTCACGTAAACTTTACAGACACGTGGAACAAACCGGTTTTAGTGAAACATCCCGATTTTAAGCTTTGTTTAATTTGTCCGACAGAAAAGCTCATCGCACATGTTTGGATCAAAGAATGACGGGAAGTTAAAAATCTGGTCATTCTTTATGATTTTACAGTTTTTTGGCTCCGATAAATGGAGTCAATTTGGTATTTAAAAAATATATATATCCATGTTTAAACCCAGTGTTGGTTTTTGGGCTTCACAGGATTAAATGAAACTTTTTAGCTTTTAGATGCTGTTAAGACTAAAATCGAAGGTATTCATTGTTCACATCCGGTCTGTTGTTTGGTTTTCACCAGAAAGATCTTTATTCAAGAAGACTCGTTAAAACAAAACTGCCAGATATCAGTTGTGTTTCTGTAAAAACACAAAAAGCTATGACCTTTAGGCTGAACTGCAGCGTTTTCTACTTGAAAGTAAAATATCTGTAGTTTGTGGAGACACTAGTTTATTCAAAAACAACTTGTGAATCAAATTCTAAGGCTTTTTTCCATTTCGGTAAAATAAATCCAGAAGTTCAACTGTATTTTCTTTCTGGCTTACGTCTTTCTGAGTCAGACGTGTGGATTGGTCGGCTGACCTGCAGGCTGACGGAGACGGACGGAAACAAACTGGACTGCCGACTGGTGTTCTGTGGGCTCTCTGATTCTAACTCTGCTCCTGTAGAGATGCAGGACTTTATGTTGCAGCAAACGAATGAACCTACAGTGAGGATTTATCAGGATTCATCAGATGAACAGAGCTGCATCAGGAGGTGACAGACTCCCGACCCGTCCAGACCTGCCCAGTCCCTGCCGGTCCGTTACCTGCGACAGCGGACACTCCTTGGCCAGCGCGCTCTGGTTGGACTCCCTGAGCAGCTCTTTGAGGGCGTTCCTGACGGTGGCGTGACTCCACTGCTCCGACGGCAGCTCCTCCAGCCGGGCGAAGCTGCACCAAACAACACAAACAACTCACTGCAGGACCGAGCAGCCGCCGCCACGCTCGCTAAAACACAGCTGAGCGATTAGAGGTCGTAAAGGTCACATGAGCTGATTGCTTTTGTCTTTTACGGTTCATAAGTTAAATTATTTTACATCTTCTGCTGTGTCTGCCCACATAAATCCATATGCAGTGTTTAATGAATGTATGAGACCATCCAGCATCATGAAGTGTTTAATTCACACTCAGCTCTCGACAGGAAGTCAAAGTGAATTCACCTTTTATATCCAAATCTGATCCAATATATCCCAAATCACTGGGCTGAGAAGTCAGAAGTTAATCAAACATTCAACCACTAAAACTAACTTTTCTCTTCAGGAATCCAAGTAAATAACTAGAATTTGACTCTTAATCAAGAAATATTCATGTGATTTTTTGTGAACTAGTACATTTTAAAATTAATGGATATATTTTAGCATTAAAAACATCATTTGGGTTAAAGAGCTTCTGCATAAAGCTGCCACTAATGAATCAGCTAAGCGCTGGGTTTAACAGACAGGTTGATTCCATCCTCCTAAGATGTGACTTCTGACGTCTTCTGAAACACTTTGAAGCACTTTGGACGTTTTATAAAGTGAGAAACTACTTGAAGATAAACATGACAGGTGTGATGCTGGGTTTAGTCCAGAATGACAGAGCTGGATGACGTGCTGTTTGAAAGTGAACATTACGTAAAAACGTGGTGGATGAAGAGCTGAGTGGCTGTGGGACGCCCACCTGTGCAGGAGGATCCTCAGCGTCACCATGTGGTAAACGTCCAGCAGCATGTCGGCCACCGTCGCCTCCGGAGCGTCCGTCAGGTAGTGGATGGGCATCGGCTTCCAGCGGCCCACTTTAATGATGCCTGACAGCAAACACACAACAGCAAACGAGTTCATCTCTCTGTGTTTCTAATCACCGCGAGCCATCCACATTCCCCTGGCCTCCGCACGACCGCGACTGGAAGTGCAAATCTAAACAGGCCTAATCACATTAGGCTCTTCTAAATCAAACGCAGGCCTCGCTCGTGTGTTTGTGCGTCTCCATCGCATGAGGATGGCGGCGAGAGAACAAAGGCTGCACCGCAGCTGATTAATCAGAGGAGAAATGTGAAATCAGCTCGACATCAGAGCCACGCAGGCCGCGAAGGCGAGCGGCGTTTTGATGTCGACGAGCAAACGCCGTGAGGTCATCGACTCCTTCCAGAGTTCATACTTTTACGACGGTGCAGAAAATCGCTTTAACCGACCTGCAGACCCCGAACACAAACCCCTGAAGGTGGGTCCACCGCCCAGCAGCATCCGTCTGTCATCCAGAGACTAAGAAGTCCGATAATCAGTCGAGGACGAACATTGTTGACGGAACATGCAGCTGTTTTAAACGTCTCTCACAGGTCTGTAGTCCTGTTTGTTTTAGTTCCCGTCACCTTTTATAAAGTCAGAAATCATCAAAAAGAGTTTACAAGGTGATGTTTTTTCTAATTTTACCAATATAATATATTCCAATATTGTTTTTTCTAAATCTCGACTCTACACGCTTCAAACATTCGACTCATTACATCCTCTAGCTGTGTCCAGGCCTCCTCTGCCTGCAGATCAGATTGTGTGTTTCCAGACAGAATCTGGTGAAGTCTCAGGATTTTAAGCTTCGATTTCGTAGCTTCTTGCTCTGATAAATATCTTAGATTTTTCTAATTTGTTAATCTTTTTTTTTTTTTATATTTATATATATTTTTAAAAAATCTAAATATGCTGATTTGTGAAGATAATCTTCTTTCTGTATTATCTGGTTGACTCGTATCGGAGGCCATGAATTAAAGCACACGGTGGCTCCAGAACCATGAATTTCTGCATTCCAGGCTGAAAAACCACCAAAACCACTGAGATGTAGATAAAAAACAAACAAACAACCAGGGGCAACAAACGATTTTAAAAAACAGACACAGAAAATCAACAAACATGAACTCGATGTATCACAAAACAATTAAACTAATATGAAATAAAATAGATTGAAAATAACAGAACGTGTCACTGCGCCTCGGTTTGAAGCAACCTGCTCGTTTCAGATTTACTGTTGGAACAAAGAGCACCTGGAATACCTCATGAACAAATGGAGGACGTGTGTCCCTGAACACCTCACTGAGATTGCAGGTTAGTCGCTTTTCAGAGACACCGTTTATCAAAAACAAAGAATGTTCAGACTTTGAGAGCTGTTTTGGCGAAAGCTTAAAATTCAAAATCACTTAATTCTGCTTTGTTGGTTTTTGTTGAATTGCCAAAAATTTACCGTTTTCTCGAAACAGATTCTGCAAAAAACAAAAATTCAGCGCGTTCGGTGCAGCTATGAAACCAACAGAGACTATTTGGCTGAACTGCAGGCAGCGTTTTAGGCATGAAAGAAGTTCAGAAAACATCTGTGGCATGTTCATTTTCCTGCAACACCTCTGAGGTTCATACGTTTTAATTTTTTTAAACGTTCAGTTTTTGTTCCTTGTTTGTGTCATTCTGTCTCTCTGTCTGCGTGGTGTTCACGTAGGAGGTGCAGGACTTCATCCTGCAGAGAATAAATGTTTTGGTTCTGAGATAATCCCTCCTCGGTGCAGCATCCTTCTTAAAATACGGTTTGGGTTGTTTTGGGGCCACACTGGCGGTTTGCAGGCTTTAAGACACGGCGAACGGTCATTTCTAAATGAGTAATATCAGCGAAAGTTTCCAAAAACGTGGCGGTGAGTTAAATTTAGTCTGATCATTCCACTCAGCAGTTCACCTAAGCCCCCGTTAAAACCCAAGCAGCGACCGCACACTCCAAATACGAAGGAGCTGCTTTTTAATTAGCCATAATGTGCAAGTTAATTAAAGAAAAAAAAAACCCCGCGCCAGTCAGTTAAGAGTTTAAAAATACACATGCAGTCAAAGTTATGCAAGATGCAATTCAATCGCAGAAGAAAATAGAAGAGACTCTGTATAATTTTGGTCGTGACCACACCGGGGGAAAAATGCACGACTCCAGCCAGAAATTATTTATTTGAAAAGAAAAGGCTTATTTCTCAGAACAAAACCTAGCTATTTGGGAGAGGCGGGGGGGGTCGCAGGGCGTCGGCCGCTCGGTTTGGGTGCCCTGTGTTTACGGGACACCAGGAATGTGGAGCGGCCGGCTGCAGCCGAGGCTGTTGTTTCACCGTGGACTCCTTGTTTTCCTGATCCCCCAGACGCTCACATATAAACCCAGCTTCACCGTCGGGCTGCACACGAGGGACAGAAAACAGCTTGTGAAGGTTCTCAGTCCTCCAGGTCGTGGTAGTTTAGCAGCAGCTGGACCTGCTTGAGTGTTTTGAAGACGTTTGATCCAAGAGGCTTCATCAGCTCCGACCAACTAGATGGGAGTTTCTCATACTGATATCCTGAAGGAGACGTTAACACCTGAGTTTGGGTTTCAGTTGAGGGGTTTGTTGCTCCTCCCTCTCGTTATGTGAGTCGTTAGTGCTCCACCTTCACATCTAGCCACAAAAGACTCCAACCAACCCCAGACTCAGGTGTTAACGTCTCCTTCAGCATGTGGAACTCCCAACCAGTCAGTCAGAGCTGATGAAGCCTCTTGGATGTCCAGTCCAGCTGCTACGATTAAACCACAGCTCACATGTACCTTTAGAAGACCTGTGCTGTGATTGTCTGAAGCGCTCACGGGTGGAAAACCGCTAATATCCTGCTGCTGGAAACAATCAATAAATCATCAATTAGCAGCGGCAAGAAGCGCGACGTGTTTCCAGTTAGCGTGTAGTAACGTTTAGATGTTAGTGATCAGACGGCTGAGGAACGTTTTTCAGGATTATCATAGTCGCACATCGATGGTCAACTGGACCGTAGTCGTGTTTTTTGTCCGTTAACGGTCTGGAGCTTTACAGGAGAGGAGCTTGAAGCTGAAACTTCATACATGACCTCGGTATGGTCCCTTCTCGGACTGATTGGATTTCGGGGTCAGTAGATGCATTACAGAAGTCAAAGGCTGCATTTCCCAGAACATCTCTGTATGACTGAAAACACACAGACAGACATACGTTTGTTACACTAACGTAGGAAGACACTGGAGGCCTGTAAACTGGTGATTTAACCTCCATCCATGAGACAAAGGTCAAGGTCGCGCATACATCGGGCAGTTCACGGGCGCTCACTGCTGCTGGACAGAGTGGAAGAAGCCTGCGAGGTGTTTTCAAGCTTCAATCATCAGTCATGGTTGCAGTTTTTCCATTTTTTTTTTAACTGTCAGATTGAGTTTTTGTGGGATTTTTCTCTTGTTTGAGTGAGTTTAAAGTCAGAACGGAAGCGTTTCGACGGATCGGCTGTTCAGTCACGTGGCTGAGCTTTTGGTTGGAGAAGTTTATAGCAGAGACGCCTGATCAGTCTGTGAAGCTTTTTGGTGAATTTCATCTTTATTTTGGCTGTTTTTAGACAAACTGTGAAGAGAGACGACGGGCCTTTATTTTGAAATTACATCCGACATGACTGGAAGTAACTTAAACTATTAGACTTTTTTTTTTTTTTACAATGACGTGCTGTATTTTATAACTGTGTGAAATGTTGTTTTTTTAAATCACCAAAATGACACCATGAAGACAGTCAAACACCAGATTTTCAAGTTTCCAAATGTTCCTGAACTACTCATTTTAAAGAGTCGTTCCATCAGAAAACACAACCAAATTAAAACCTAAATTATTTTTTTTCTACATAAATAATTTAAAAATCAACCATTTGTAGGAGCTGGATTCAACAAAAAATAAAAATTCTGAGCTCCACGATGCAGCCGAGACGCCTCGGCCGGTTTGGCTGCCACCAAAAGTCCTGTGACAACGATTGTGGGACGCAGCGTTTAGACAAAGCAGGAACAAAAATGGAAATAAAGGTTAAACATCTACGACATGCAGAGCCACGTTGTCTTTGTGTTCATAACAGCATCGGTGTCGCCTGTAGTTGTAGAAGTTTATGATCAACGGCATGAAATGTGATGAATTGTACGGCTGATGTCGGGTCCGGCGCTCTACTGACCTCGGGCCTGGACCGCCGAGCTGTGTGAGTACCCCAGAGCCACCAGCGCCGTCTCCACCAGCTGCGTGAACAGGACGTCCTTCCGAACCAGCACGAACTCGGCGTGGCGGTCGCTCCGGCCCTCGCAGTCGCCGCTCAGGCCGGCGTCGGCGTGCTCCACCACGCAGTAGACCGGGATCATCAGACCTGGACGGGACGGACAGTCAGAACCTCGAGTAACCGTCAACAACGAAGGGATCAAATAAAAACTGAGCGATGACGATTTAAACATCTGGAAAATCTGAAAGCAGCAACCACCGACCAGGCAGGTTGAAAGTCTCCTTTTAAAATCACCTAAATGAACCCTTTTATCAAACTCCACCTGTCCATGAACTCTGTGAGTCGAGGTTCTGTTGGGTCATTTAACTAAATCTAAAATCAGGATCTTCCATCATAATCACCGTCCTGTTTACATGTTTGGTTTTAACTAAATTCTGCAGAAAGCTAATGAGCGAGACTCTCAGATGAAGTGCAGGTTGTGTCCACGGAGCAGCTCCCAGTTCAAATATCTAAAATTCATACCGTCTCCGTTTATTTCTTTCAAGCATGTTAACAGCTGAGCACAGCAGAACAAGAACATAAGAAACTCAGCTGTCATTGTTGTTTTTTTTGATGATCTACAGCAGAACCATGTCGTTCCACGTTCACTCGAGGTGTTTCCTCTGAGCTGCAGGACTTCAGCAGAAACCACACAGAGAGAGTTAAAGTGCTGTCGAGTAATTCGTCACACAAACCCGCCACAGAGGAGCTGTTCAGGCCCGTCTTTTGTTCCAGAGCAGGATCTGGGTGAAAGCTGGGGCTGTCGGCGGCGTCTTCCCGCTCATTTCCGCCCGCTGAGCGCTGCAGCGGTGGAGCTGCCTGGTGGAGCTGCCTGGTGGTCTCATTGTGCGACTCTGGTTAAACTGGGCAGCTGCCAGCGCGCATGTAAGCCAGCGTTAGATTGTACAACTGTATTTGTGTTTGAACCACATATTAAAACCCACAAGGGATCAGACTTGTTTCCAGAACCGCTATTAAAGCGCTGCATGTCGCGCTCAGGAGCGCTGCCACGGCTCCAGCGCCGCGGACTTGTTGTTGGGCGAAGGCTGAGCTGCAGCGTTCACACCCATCCCGTCCACTGCTCGCTCCCACAGGAACTGCTAATTAACAAGCTATCAATCGTCCTCCTGACGGGGCAGCGGCGGATCAGCCGGAGCCAAACCGCGGCAGCATCAGGCACGCTATCGGCCGGCGAGCCGACCGCTCGGCGCGAGGGCGGAGGGATGTGTGCGTCGCCATGTTTGTGTGGTGATGCATGACGATGTCTTCAGCTGCACGAGGGGATGGCTGTGCACGGCTGTGGAGTCGAGAGCGAACCCGACACCTCACTGCTTTAGCATCGAGAGGTGCTGATGCTAACGTCATGGCACGTTGTTACACACCAGAAGACACCGTTACTTCTTCAGTGCCTCCTTGCCTGAGGCGTCCGTCTGCTCAGAACAAACCTGCTCATCCGACATCCGGAGGCAAGAAGTGTTCGTATGTCTGAGAACACCTTTGAATGTTTGCAGACGACGTTCCCACAAAGACGCTCATGTCGTCTGCAAGAACGAATAAACTCACTAACAGAAAAAAAGGCATCTTCAAAAATTACTAATGACAATAAAGTCCAAAGTTGCACCGTTGATCAGACCTGGGAACTGTAGAAAGACTCATCATCAGTCGTAAACGCTGCAGGGTCAGGGTGTGAAGGCCTGACAAACATCATCATTGGATGTCATTATCAATCATTAGCAATAATCTGAAAAAACCCAAAAACAACCAACAACCTGCCGGCAGGTTTGTGAGAGGTTCCATCCTAAGAGATAGAAATAAAGAAATAAAATCGTGATTCGTGTCAGAAATAGAAAGCTTGAAATCAAACTCGTTTTTTTCCCCTGAAAATCATATTTAAAAATCTACTAAAAATGAACCATTTTAACGAATCAGATTCTGTAAAAACTAAAAAATTCTGCGATCTTAAGTGCAACTGTGAAGCCGTTAGTGACGCTGCTGCGACCAACGCTCACATGGCAAAAATTCAGAGCAGAGAGGAGGCAAACATATTTAAAAATGATAAAATACACATAAAAACTCAACAAACATTGATGAGAAAGAACGTTTCTGTCGACCAGCTGATAAACCAGCAAACTGTTTTAGCGTTAAAGCAGCTCTGACTCGCAGAAATGATGCTTTTTGTAAATAGATGTGTTTAATTTGTGATGCATCACAAATTAAACAGATCTTCTCCTTTTATTGCTTTCCAGTCCTTTTCAGCCAACTGGTCGTATGTTAGACGGGAAGTTTTTGTTTTGCATCGCTGTATTGAAAGATCACTTTTGTGCAGAATCTTTGGGAAATGTAATTAAAGCATAAAACTATTTGTTGATCTACAGAAATTAAGTCATTTATCAGCCAGATCCTTCTATTTTGGACAGTTAGTCAGTTCAGAAATAACTTCCTTTTTCCCAGCCAGAGAGAAAAACATTAGATTTCATGGATAAAACTGAACTTCAGGGATTTGTATCATGGAGGTAAACTGACCTCCCAGCGGCCTCAGCGGCGTGCCGTTGTGTCGGACCCGCGGGTTGGCCGGGCTGCCGTTCACCTCCAGGCGGCCCAGCTTGCAGTGCGGCGGGCCGCTGGAGGCCGGACTCTCCCCTTTGTCGGCCCTCTCCTCCGGGCTGGAGGCGTCGCGGCGGCCGGGGCTCTCGGCTCCCCGTCCTGCTCCTCCACGCTGCTCCATCGGCCTGCACAGTCCGGCAGGAGCGTCTGAAACACAAGAGCTCGCTTTAGAACAAGCAGCAGGCCTCCAACCACCGCAGACCTTCAGGTCTCCTGAACCAGAGACCCTCTGGTGGCTTTTATTCCTCACCGTGGTTCATTTTCAACATAAAGTCCTGAACACCTACGGAAACATTACAGCCATGAAGGACTCAGCTGATCGACACAAATCACCAAAAGAGAACAAACAAGAGTTTCATTTCTTTGATTATTTATTGTGGAAAATTCTAAGAAAAGCTGAAATCGACCCGTGCAACATGTTCCCAAACTCGCCTCCTGTCTGCTGCAGCTCAACCGAAAAGCTGCACCTGAATCAGTATCAGTCATACTGAATTATTACTTTGTACACAGTCTGGTTGATGCAGTTAGAACGTGAGAAATCAAAAAGAGAGAAAGCTGGAAAAAATTAAAAC